AAACTCCACAAACATGACCATTTGCTTAGCAAAAGCCGAAAATGGAACAAAAAGAAACAAAAGGCTCAAAATTCTAAAGACGTGGCTTGAAAAGAAGGGAAAAGGCTCAAATGGTTAGCAAGAGAGAAAATGTAAACCCAAATAACTAAAAGAAGAAAATTAAAACTAGAAAAAGAAAAAGTACCACCCCGAAAAGATGCCTTTGTCCTCCCTAGATGGCTCGGTCTCGTGTTTGAGAATTATGAGTCAAGATTCAAGATTAGGTCCGCAATAGTCAAGGATCCATGCCACTCATGAAAGATATGTAGAAGGCTTGAAAAAAAGAAAAACCTCACATGGATGTAGCAAAAACTCATTATAGGTGTCAAATCGACCATAGGAAGCAACTACCAACATGCCACAAACAAGTAGAATTCGGTTTCATGATCCTCCTAGTTCTAGAACATGCTACCTTAGCATACACCTATCCTAGAGTCAGCCAAGCATATTCTCAAACCGTGCATAACCATACCATTTAGGAAGATATTCATTTAAAAGCAAAAATCGGTTGTATATAGTCCAATTCAAAAAGAAAAACAAAAAGGTGACAAATAAAGCCTCAAAAACATACCAAAATCCAAAAACAAAAAGAAAGAAAAATAAAAGAAAAGAAAAGAAAAGAAAAACATAGATAAAGGAAAAGAAGGAAAGTGAAGAATGGAACGAATATGCAAGTAGAACAAGTAAATCCCAATCGACAAACAAGTGATCAAATGACAACATCGTCAATGATCCCAACACTCTAGGTGTTAAAAGCATCCATCCTCGAACCATTCAACTCTTCCTAAAACTAATCTTAAACTATGCATCCAAGAAAATAAAAGAGAATAAAGGGAAATAAGAAAGATCTCATCGGCTTTCAAGCAATGCTAAAATAAGTAGGGTGAAGAATCAACCATCTTGTGAAGCTCCAAAAATCAAAGCATCATCATCAAAGCCATGTGAGAACAAAATTGGAAAAGAAAACTATGGACAAAGAAAACGGTTAGTAACTTTAAAACAAAAGAAAAGAAAACAAAACAAAAAGGAAAGAAATTAAAAAGCAAAAATAAGAAAAAATAAGCTATCAAAAAAACAAAAAATATGAAAATAAGAACTAAAGAACTAACGAAACATCTAACTAAACAACAAAATGCTAAGCTACAAAACATGGATTCAAAGAGGTTTGGATTCATGGGAATTGGATTTTGGGGGTTTGGATACAAGGGAGCAAACACACATCATCATCACAACAACAACAACAAGATCGAGAATGAGCAAACATCATCAAAGTAGGATCAAGAATGAGATCATCATGCAAAGAAACAATAGAAGCAGGGTTAGTATCAACAACAAATTGGCCACCGAGACAAGACTCCTAAGAAAAGGAAAAGTTCCCCCAAGATAAACAAAGATACATCTCAATATCCCGACAATACAAAGCAAACACACATAAGACAAGGGATGGAGGCACATAGCATAAAAATAAGGGGAACTAGCAACAACTACCACTCGGCTCGAAGCCATCATTATTATCCCCATCATAGGAAAACCCGGATGGGGGACCATGAGGATCCCATCCCCCGGTGTAACCGGGTGGCCAATCATAATGCCCCCTAAAGTTATCTTGTTGCCAAGGGGCAAGGGGAGTGAATTGCTCGGGCAAAGAGAGCCGTAGTGGATGATCGGGGTGTACATAGGGGTAATTAGGATCACCCTTATAATCTCTCCCATCGGGAACACGGTAATCGTAGTTACCGTGCTTATCGGGGAATGAGCGAGTCTCGGTGTTGGACCCCGGGGGTCCTTGCCAATATGGGTACGTAGGTACCCCATCACCCCCAAAAGATGGTAGAGGACCATATTGGGGTGGAAAGTAGGGTAGTTAATCGGGGGGATTGATTTCTCCTCGGTCAACACCCGCATCATATAAGTGTTGTTGTTGGAGAAACATACCTTGTTGCATTTCCCCTCTCATATGGGTATAGAGGGCCTCAAAATCTTGATCGTACATGCCCTCCAACCGGACTTGCATGCCCTTCATTTGAGCACTAAGGGCATCTAAGTCGGAGCTAGCATATTGATGGTGTTGCTCTTGATGTTGTTGTTGTTGTTGTTGTTGTTGTTGTGGCGACTCTTCTTCTTCTTCTTCTTCTTCTTCTTCTTCTTCTTCTTCTTCTTCTTCTTCACCCATTTCTTATCATCATCGTAGTAGGGCGGGCGGTGACTAATGGAGACATGCCAAATGTTTGCAACATTCTCTCGGTGGAGAGAGGTCAAGGAAGGGTTTAGGAGATAGCACCAATGCTCATTGTCCCTTAGCCACTCAAATACCTCGTCGTCATCATTCTTTGCCAATAAATGGATTTACTTCAATTTCTTGACGTCAAGGTAAAGATAATCATCATCCCCCACCGGAGTGCAAGATAGCAAATAATGCCCAAGCTCAAGGTTGGTCACTAGCCTAGTGACCATGCTCCTACAAGGGATCTCGCTGGATTCCATGCCTTGCAACCCTTGGCAATATCTTGCAAAAGTGTACCCCAAGCTTAGGCGACCCCGGTACTCCGCTCGAGTGGCCACCCATAAAATCCGAAGTTCTAATTGGCTCATCTTTCCCAATTCTTGCTTTGGGAACATCGAATATCCCAATAGCCTATGAAGAACCCGGAGACATGGTTGGTATACCTTACTAATCTTGGCATACCGGGTCACAAAGTCACCGCAACAAGAAATATCGTCCCATCACGAATTCTTATTATACTCATTGTTGAAGAAGTGCTCGGGATCCAAAATATCAGAATTTGGATCAAAGTCAAGAGCCGCATTAAACTCTTCCAAAGATTGATCAAATTGAATGTTAAAGAGTTGAAATTGGACACAGTAGGTATCACCCTCGACCAGCACAAGGTCAAACGTGGCCAAGAACTCCAAAGTTGGTTGAACATATGTACGGAAGCTCTAGCTCACAAATGACCCCATGCGAAGGTTGTTGAGCAAATCCCTCGAGTCTTCATTAATCCCCAATTTAATCATATCCGTTTGAAAATTGTGATGGGAAGGCTTGAGGGAAAGGTTTTCTTTGAGCTTGGAGTGTCTAGCTTTTTGGATTGGGTCAGTAATTCTAATTTTTGGTATAGGGGTAGGTTGTCGTTGTTGTGAGGTAGATGGAGAAGGAGTGGGTTCTTCATTGGTTTTACGTTTCTTGAAAAGGCTTTTGATATGTTTAGACATGATGATTTTCAAATAAAGCAACTCAAAACACCACAATCACCCAAAGAAACTCCAACCAACAATCTTGAATGCTTCAATCGAACTCCTTAACTAAAACCGACAAGCAACAATTCACTACCAAAGATGAGCAATCCCAAATACACACAATTACCACCAATTCAAGCCACCAAATGCTTTCAAATCATATACCAAGCACAAAGAAATCAAGAACTAAGGCTCAACATTATCAACGAAACACCACTACCAAAAATCCGATCACAACAATTCTCAATAATAACGATCAATTTTGCTACACAAACAACAAATAACACAATGTAAGCAATAAACAATCATTATACAACACAAATAACCAACCAAAATCCAATTTCAAACATCAAAACCATCAAAATACATACTACTACTATTCATGCCCATGAATTAACTAAAAACATGCAATTATATGGTATAATAAAGCAATTAAGAGCAAGAGTAGATGATTATACCATACAAGAAGTAATAGAGAAATCCTTAGCCACCAATTTCCACTCACAAGAAAAACCCCAATTAAGCTTCAAAAATGGAAAAGAGAGAATGGTGGTTGTTATGGGTGAATTGTAGTATGAATTTGTTAAAATTGGAAGAATTACAAAAGGTTTTGATGAATTGTGATGGAAATTTGGTTGAATTTGAGTGAAAATTTGATGAATGAGTGTAGGGATATGGTGCAGTTTTGATGAGGGTGAAGGGGATTGTGTGCGAGAAAATGAGGGTGAAGGGGAAATGAGGGAAAAGAAAGAAGAAAAAAGAAAAAGAAAGGCACGGCAGGGCGTGCGCGGCCGCGCCACCTGCTGTTCTTCTTGCCTCTCTCCTTGGTGCGCTCATGCGTGGGTACATCGATAACTATCATTTTGGGATTTTTTTACCCCAGTATAACTATCAATTTCTAAATGTTAAAAATGTGGGGTCAGCACCCCAAATTATGGTAGCACCACGATGAACTCACCAAGTTCTAATTTCTTCAAACTTCAGCACAAATTTCCTAACTTACCTTCTAAACAATTCTTACCCCTTTTACCTCAAAATTTCAATAAAATTGAACATAAAGTACATCAAAAACCGCGAAACACCATTCCATTGCTCATTCCACTTGATGTAATCTAACTCCAAGAATTCAACCTAAAAATCCAAAGTAAAAACAAGTGAAAGAATAGAAAAGAAACTAAAAGAAAGAAAATTAAGAAAAATTGAAATCAAAAGAAAAGGTTAGAAATCTCCGCGTTGCCTCCCGCGAAACGCTTGCTTAAGGTCCTTAGCTCGACCCTTCCTCCAAATCACGGAGGGTCAAAGAACACCACCTTGTCAAAGATAGCGGATAGAATAACTTCTCTTTCATTTTTATGCAACCTCTCATTGTTACTTGACAAAACTTCACTAGCTTGCACATAAAAAACAAGTTTTTCATTTCTCTTCTTCAATCTCATTCTCTTCTTCCTCGAAGCTCTTGCTTTCTTCTTGATTTTGTTTCTTTTCGTAGACGGTTTCACACCATCTACCTCCATGGAATCCTCCTCTTCCTCTCGTGGGTAGAGCTCAAACCAATGAGGAATGTCAATCTCCTCTTCGTTCATAGCCTTTGGAAGCTCCTTCTTATCTTCACTAACTTTCATGCAATAAAAACTCACAAGCGCATCATCAAAAATATCATGAACATTGTTAGATGAAAAATCAATCACATACATATTATCACAAGAATGAAGGGAATCATCACTCTAGATTCCTTTCATAAGGGATAAGGACTCATGCATTGGTTTTAGCTTAAAACTCTCTTTCTTGTTACCAACACTCAAGGTAATTCGGCCTGCCTTAACATTAATCAAAGCTCCCGAAGTATCTAGGAAAAGTCTCCCAAAGATAATTGGAATGTGGTCATCTTCTTCTATTTTAAGCACAATGAAATCAACGGGTATTGTAAAACTACCTATCTTTAGGGGAACATCCTCAACTCTTCCCTTGGGAAACTTGATAAACCTATTGGCCAATTGTAAAGTCATGTTGGTAGGAAGAAGTTCTCCTAGCTTTAGCTTCTTGAAGACCGAGAAGAGCATTATGCTCACACTAGCAGCCAAATCACATAAAGCATTCTCAAACAACCTACTCTTGATTTTGCAAGGAATGGAGAAATTACCCGAATCTTTCATCTTCTTAGGGAGGTCATTGTGAATCAAAGCACTACAACACTCACCAAGCTCCACCAAATCTATCTCATTACAATCTCTTTTGTTACTCAAGATATCCTTAAGGAACTTGGAATATCTAGGCATTTGGGTCATGGCTTCGGTAAGAGGGATAGAAAGATAGACCTCCTATAACATTTCAATAAATCTCCCAAATTGTTCATTTAGTTTGTTCCTCATAAAATTTTGGGGATATGGAAGATCGGGTTTTCTCATCTTCTCTTGCTTTTTCTCATCACTCTTCTTTTTCTCATGGCTCTCTTCTTTGCTCACATCTCTTGACACATATTCCTCTTTTTGCTCACTTGAAACACTCTTCTCTTTGTCCTCCTCACTATCCCTAGAAACTCTCTTTTTAAGAACTCTTCAACTCCTTGTGGTAATGGAATAAACCAGTTTCTTGGGATCAACTCCTTGAGAAGGCAACGAAGAAGGACTAGCACAATCTTTCAAAGTGTTTGCTAGTTTGGTGATTTGTGTCTCAAGCATTTTGTTATGTGTCATCTTCTAATTGGATTTCTTATCGCTCACCGCCATATGGTGTTCAAGATTTTTGTTTGATTTTCATTATCTCCTCAAAATTGGACTTGGACGATTGAGAATAGGAATTTTCACCAACACCTTGAGACTTTGGAACAAATCCGGGTGGAGGTCCCCTTTGATTGTTTTGAAAATTTCCCCTATTTTGATTGTTCCAATTGACTCGATTTTGGTTGTTGCCAAAATTTTGGTTTTGGCCACCAAAGCCTTGAGATTGACTTTGATTTCCATAACCTTAGCCTTGGTTTTGAATCCCATAATCTTGGTTATTATAGTTGCCTTGGAAATTTTTGGTTCCTTGGTTCCTATAATTACCATTGTTATAGTTATCAAATCCACCTTGTTGGTGAGAATTTCTATTTTCAAAGTTTCTTGGTCCATCAAACCTTTGACCATTATTATTGTTTGAGACAAAATTCACATGTTCACATTCACTATTCTCACCATCATAAAGATTTTCAAACCCATTTGAACAAGTAAAAGCATCATGGTCATAAGACCCACAATTATCACAAAACAAACATCTTTTAGGCATATTGTTAGAAGTAGAAAGAGGAGTGGAGTTAAAAGATGTACCTCTCCCTTTAATGTTGGAGGGATAACCTTGCACATTGGAAGTTTCACTCTCAAGCTTGGCCTTAATTGTTGTTATCTCCTTCCCCAAACTTGCAATTTGAGAGGATAGATTGTTGATGGCATTAAGGTGATCAACCGAGTAAACCGTTGATCCATTCTTGCTTAAAGACTCTCTTTCTCCTTCCTGCCGATCCATGTAATAGCGCACCACATCTTCTATAATGTCCACAACCTCTTCTTCGGTTTTGTTCATGATTGGGCCTCCGGCTCCCGCATCTAGAAACTATTTGCCTTGAGGACTCAACCCTCCATAGAAAATCTGAATGATTTGATATTTTGGGATGCAATGATGGGGACATTCTCTTTGATATTCCTTATACCTTTCTCAAGTTCATACAAGCTCTCACTAGGCTTTTGCTTGAAACATTGGATCAAAGCCCTTGCATCCGCCGTTTTCTTTTGGGGGTAAAACCGAGACAAGAATTCCTTGGTAACTTCATCCCATTCTGAGAGAATTTGGCTTGACCTCCTTGTCTAACCATTCCAAAGCTCGACCTATGAGAGAGAAGGGGAACAACTTGAGCCGAATAAACTCTTGAGAAACACCATTCACTTTAATAGTATTGCAATCTTCAAACTCTTTGAGGTAGTTTAGCGGACTCACCATCTTAGACCAACTAAATTGTCTTCGTTCAATCAAAGTGATCATGGCCGGTCTTATTTCAAAGTCATTTGCCGGTGTTGTTGGCAAAGTAATCCCACTTTCAAACCTATATCCACCGAGAGTTCCCAACTTCTTCAAAGAAACTCTTAGATTATCTCCCATACTTGCTTGATCCTCTTCTTCTCTTTCTTGGTTAATTTCTTCTCTTGGAGAGCATGGACTCAAAGAACGATTAGCAACCCTTATCCTCATTATTGTTTTCTCGATTTTTGGATCAAATGGCACTAAAGTCCTTCCTCAAATCCTACGCATACAAAAACTCAAAGCAAATATCAATAGCACGGCTATAAATGTAGCCTAAAGAGAAAAGTCTTTTTGTATTTTCGAGATTAAGGTGAAGTAGACTCAACAACAATAGCAATAATATACGCCATTCCCCGGCAACGGCGCCATTTTTTACCCGAAGGCGAGACAAGGTCGCTTAAAACTAATCTACCCTTGGTCAAAACAAAATTTATAATCTCTTAACAAACCCCTACACAAATCATAGAGTAAGTCGAGGGTCGAACCACTAGGAATGGGAAATGAATGCTAAAGTCAAAGCTAAGCTATTTCGAAGAAATATAGTGAGGTGTGTGTATCCAAAACAATCAAACAATCAAATGAAATCAAATTTACCAAGCACTAAGGTTAGGATCTGCATGTACGCGGAATGGACATAGCTAATTAGGATTGGAGATGACTAAGTCAAGTGTTGCGAGAGAAAATCAACAAAGCAATCAAGAGAGTAAGGTTGGCTAATCTCCTAAAGGTCAAGCTAGCGCCAACTACTAGAGACTCTAACTAGAAGACTTTCAAACCTACTCAATCTAAAAACAGCAAGCCACGTATCAATTTTCCGTATCAATGCAAGCATACAATGCATTCTAGTGTAACAAATCAAAGTTAGCTACTCTTCAATTGATCACACACATGAACTTAATCAATCAACCAATTTAATCACAACATCAACTCCATCGATTTCCCCTAATTAGCATCAATCCATAATTCATACATGCTTCACCATTCCCCTAGCAAGAGAACTACTCACAATCCATTGAAATTAAGATCAAAACTAAGCTAATAAACAATTTCATCAGCATTATATCAATAGAACTAATTCAATCACAAATTAAATACAAACTTAAATAATCAACAAAACAATTGAAATGGTAAGCTAAAATTGCATTAAAGTAAAAGAAATCCTTACAAACTTGCTTCAATTAAATGGAGAAAATGCTAGATTTAACAATCATCAATCATCAATCAACAATCAAGAACTTCTCTCTTTACAATCTAGAGTTTCTCTCTCTAAAATTCTAGCCTAATTTTCGGAATTAATTCTCTAATGATTCTCTAATTATTCCCCTCTAAAAATATAAAGAAAATCTATATATAGTAAAACTAACTAAGAGAAGTTAATTAGATCGTCCCTAAATAAACCCATACAGGCGCGATCAATCATAAGCGGGAGCGCAGCCGCGCAAAACTGGGTATGGAATAGGGACCCAGATAGGCGTGCCCGCGCCAGAGGGAGGTGCGCCCGTGCCACCAGGCTGCGCCCGCCCGCGCCTGGGAGCAGGGGAGCCCTCTTCCCTATCATTCCTATGCTCCTCGTGCGTTCCACTTAATGCTCTTGATAAACACGGAACTTTGCAGTTTCTAACCTCCATGTTTGCGGGTTCAAGACAAGAAATCATGCCCCCACGGCTTGAATGCACAGTTCAAGGTCTTTAGGAACTTGCACTTCTCCATGCTTGAGCTTCAAAGGGAGACCACTAAGCATCCTAATCAATTCCAAACTCGAGAAGAGGGAAAATTGGAAAACGACCTTAACTTAAAAAATAAAGGAAAACAAGCAAATAAAAGAGAAAATAACAAAATAAACCAAGAAATGCATAAAAAAAGAATTCAAACTAAGAAAATGCATAAACCAAGAAATGCATAAAAGAAGAAAATGCAAACTAAGAACTCAAGGAAAAGCTAAGTAAAAGAACTATAGATTAGCATGAAATTCATCCTAAAAAGAGCCAAATGAGCGCCATAAATGACACTCGTCAATAATTAGCACGAATCATAAGTTTACCCATGCCCAAATTGTTCTATAAACCATAAATGAGTTCGGGAGCGAGGGTACTAAAATAACGTTGCTTTTAGAAGGGAATCGTTATCCTAGCCCTAGTACGACCTCTACTAGCTCTTCCTTTTTTACAATTTCATCACCAAACAATATATGCAACGTGATACCTAAAACTATGTTAGTTGATTTTATTTAAAAGAATTAATTCACTTAGGAATTACATCGTAATGTCGTTATTCTTATTTAATCAAATTCGTGAAAATAATAAGAAAATAAACAAGATTCGCCTTGGCTTAAGTTATCAACCAATAATTATTTAATTCAATTCTAATATTTATTTAACACAAGATACTATATGGAATTGATTAATTAATTTTTTAAAGGTGATCAAACAACACTAATTAATTAATTAAAGTCCTTTTAAAAAAGAAAATAGATGTGATTTAAGGAATTTACCACTTCTCTTAGCCAGATCTCCGTTTAGAACACTTATGGACTCCTTCTTGTTGGGGAACCTCCACTGCAGTAACAAAGTATCAAAAGGGTGAGTGTTTAGGACAATAGGGGCTAGGTTGCACAAGTTCACAAGTATTTCGCCAGAGTTTTAGGTTAATTTCTGTCTGTTTAAGCCTCAGTCTAAGCTCCTATTTATAGGGAATGATTAGGTTTAGGGTTTTGAGCATTCTGCCGCAGCAGGTGTCGCGCGCAATAGAATGAATTGCGCGCGGCATCCCAGCGCAAGTGATTTCGTTTTGCTGCTAAGGGCAGCGCAACTAATTGTCTTGCACGCGACTTTATGGTAAGATTTGATTTTATATTTTCTGTATAATTCTGAATCTTCCGCAACGCAACTCTTGGGGTTGCACTGGGTGTCGCGCGCAACTAAATTAGTTGCGCGCGGCAACCCAGCGCGACTCCTTGAGATGCGCGCGGCTTTTTCAACGGCAGCACTAAGATTTAACCTAGGCACTCGTAAATCCGTCATTATTAGGGTTTAAGCACGGGCTTAAGCCTAATTATGATCGGGTTTAGTTTATTGGACCTTTGTTTTGGCTTTTTCTTTAATTTGGGCAAGTCTTTTGTGTTTTGTGGCTTAACCAGTTATCAATAAGTATTCTTCACTTCGATCCAACATGAAGATGGCTTTATTTATCGTCATTGCACTTCCTGTCGGGACAGGAGGCCAAAATTAGATGT